GAAATATGACAAAGGAACACAACCTAGCATAAAATAGGCCAAAGACACGATAATTCAAGCTCAAACAATCAAGAAACAAAGGGGAAAACATGTGCAAATACCGAGTCATCAATAGTACTATGTATCTGAGTATCGCCACCTTCCTCTAATAGCATGTTTACCTCGTTTCCTCTGATTTTCCATTTTAGGTGGCTACATCCCATCACTTAAATTTGGACATTGTTGTAGAGGTTGATTTAAGTTTTAGAGATAGCTTCAAGGAACAAGATGGTGGGTGAGGGTAAAGTATATGATTTTCCTGCCATATGTCTCACAATTAAGAAGTTGGAGGTTGATAACGTTTTTTTATTAGTCCTCAGACCCTCTGATTGGTGGTCTTCTCCACCTTCCCCCTTCCTTTGGATAAATGTTGAGTTTAGGTAAGATCTTATTTGATCTCGCGACTCTCTGTTTAATGGGTTCATCCCTATTCTTTGCCTTATAATCCGCCTATTTGTAGCTACTAGTTTTTGGGTTAAGCTCCATAACTTCTAGTGTTGATGCTTAAGTGCTGGTGGAGGTTTCCAGATCCTGTAATTCTAGTCACCTTGTCTGAATCACCAGATCTCTTCCTTCCTATGTTTGATTTGTTGATAATGCCAGAACAGATCAAGCTATGTTGTTTCTCGATCTTTGATCTTTTGGTGGTTGTAATTATTGAAGATGATTGCATACCGAATGCTCTGATACTAGCAGCTGGAGTTTTGGTTTTGGTTTTTGATTGAGGGCTTTTTCGTAGAGAGAGTCATACTATTATGGTTCTTGTGTTGGTTTACCCATGCCCAACTTTTATGTGCCAAATCCAACTTATTATGGGTCAAATTAGGTTTGGTTAATTTTATTTTTCGGAAAGACCATACTTTTAGTTTGGGTCCAAATTTGACTCACATTATTGGGTACCAAAAAGAAAATGAATATCCGATTCTATTGTAGTATTAACTTTTTTTTTGTTATGAAACAAACAGAAAGGTGGAAACACCAACACTAAAAGTGTAATTTGGTTGAGGACAATTAAGGAGATTATCGACATTGTCATTTTCTATGTATAATCATGCAAACTTGGGTCTTGACTCAAATGAGTTGACCCGAATTGGTTGTATTAAGACCCAACCCAAACAATTAAAAATACATATGGATCCATTTAAATAATACCCAATACCCATATGGGTAATAACAATTAGGTGAAACTACCCAATGAGTCAATCTGTTGTCATTCCTAGTCATGTTAATTAGCTTTTCTTTTTTTATGGTTAGCAAATTTGTCGCAACTTTTTTTTTTTTAAGAAAAAGAATTGTTTTTCGATTCCTTTATATTGAAACTGACTGTTAAGGGGTGTTAGTGAGATTCGGTTAACCAAAATTATTAATCCCTTAACAGTTCAATTTTGATTTTAGGAGGTAATGCTGATTTGCTTTTCAATTTCACTAGTTAATGGTTCGGTTAACTGAACCACCCGAAATCCCTATTACAAGTATGCACCTATATATTAATAGATTTGTATGAAAATATAATTAAAAGCCCCACAAGCACAAATGAACTAAACTAAACTTTTAAAATATTAAATTACAATCTCTAGTTCCCTACTACAAGTATGCATATAAAGCTAGATTTGCCCCTCAACTTTCGATCACTCAAATGTTACATACTCACAAAGATGGTGAATGGTTAATTAATTATGCCCTTAAAAAATAAAATAAAATCAAAGAAATAAAAAATTACCCGTTCGTACTATAAATTAAAATCCAACGTCATATGCTTAACTTTTTTGTTTTTACCCCTTCTTCCTCTGTCAGTTTTCTTCTTTGTTCTTTTCCTTTACTCTGTCCTCATTTTTTCCTACCATTTTTTTACATTTGCACAACAAAACAATCAAGAGAGTAAAATGACTTCGATTCAAAGTCTAGCATTCTTTTGTACTCTGTTTAGCAAAGTCTTTCCTTTTCCTCATCTAACATTTTCCTCAGCTGAGCATTGTTTCTTGGTTATAATTAGTTGTGTTCTTTTTACAAATTGTACTTGCGCAGGGCCGTTGGAGCCATGTCTCGAGAATCACTACTTGATGAAGTGGTCCCATGTTCGCTGCTCTGGAATTCCTGGCTCGATAATGCCACTTGTCGAAACCTTTCCATGTCTGCGTTGTAAGCACTGATGTCATACTCACCACCGCTACCACCGGCTGCGCCGAAGATAGAACTTTGTCCAGGCCTAATCCCATCACTCAAGTCATCCAGCGATGCGTCTCCTTCCAATGTGTGTACTATCTGTTTGGTTTTCATTTGATGTTTACGCAGAAAACATGCACGTAATTGGTTCATAATGATCTAGTCACCCTTATTTGACATATAGAGAAAAGGTTTCGAAGGTAGTATTCACCTGGCTCATCTTAGGGCGCTTTCTGGCAGAGTGGCGAATGCTGGCAGCAGCACATGCAATCATCCGTTGCATCTCGCCAGTGTTGAAGTTGCCCTCCATTCGAAGGTCAACCAACTCATTGAAGTTTCCTTCATCTAGTGCTCGGGTCATGAGGGGTCGAGCCTATTCCCATCAAATGGAACAGTTGAGGAAAATGGCACATAATAGACAAAGAGAAACAAAAATACTCCATTTGAGGAAATATAGTTAGTTGACAAGTTAAGTGAACAAACCCAATCCACCAAGCTATCTTCCATGACATTGGTTGGATCCACAGGTCTCTTCCCTGTGATGAGTTCTAAGAGCATGACCCCAAATGAGAACACATCGGATTTCTCCGTTAGCTTCCCACTCGATGCATACTCCGGAGCCAGATACCCGAATGTTCCCATCACTCGTGTTGAAATATGGGTGTGATTGTCGGTAGAGAGCTTGGCCAATCCAAAATCAGCCACCTAAAACAAATAAGAAGGGAGGAGACAAATTTGTTATTTACCCTTAGTTCAATCTTGAATGTTGGAAAGGAATTATTAATCAAACAAGATATACCTTCGCTTCAAAGTTCAAGTCCAGGAGAATGTTGGAAGATTTTATGTCCCGATGAATGATCTTCGGGTGGCCTAGCAACAAAGATAAGTAAATGTGATTTACACGCTTAAATTTTCTCGCAAAATTAGAATTAACCTATAAGGAAAGAAATAATAATGATTCCCCCCCCCCTAACTTACAATCTTCATGGAGATAAGCAAGTCCCTTTGCAGATCCTAATGCTATCTTGAGCCTAGTAGGGAAATCCATAATCGAAACATTCTTTCCTGCACCCCAAAAATATAGACAATCAAATTCAAATTTATGTGTAATTACACCAAATATTAGAATGATACATGATATTCTATTTCATTTTTAAACATCAAGTGTCGCTTAGACATGAGATCTTGATAGTCTTATTTCAATGGAATGTGAACAATCCTTCACTACACAAGTAAAAAAAATTGTGCAACATGTAATGGAATTGCTATACTTATTAATTTCATCACATTGTTTTTAGTTTTCAATATCTTAATGATAAGGATGGTGAAATTCTCCTATCATCTAAATGCTACATTAAAGAAAAATGTATCTGAACAATTAAATTGTCTATCATTCATTCTTATCCCACAACTTCTATTTTCCATTTCATGTAATGTTAGAATTTCATAGAGCTCTACATCCACCATCTGAATTAAGATATGGTCCTAGCATCTGGTTATAGGATGACCTAATGAATTAATGAACGATAGATCATGCATTTTTAAATCCATGCTATTAGATGCACTTGTTATGTAGCATTGCATGTCTAAACCATAGCTAGTGGGTATGGTCATAAACTACCTATGAAATCCACGACCATATGATGCATAGGATGAAAATTTCGTACATAAGTACCAACACATGCATCCAATAACTCTAAATCACGCAAAGACGTTTCATTAATGAACATTAGAGTCTTGCATCCCATCAGCCTAACAACCTATTTAATCTAGCCTTAACTCATCCATTATAGAAAACAAAAAAGAAATCAATTACCATGGAGATGATATTCAAGAGTGTCATTAGGAAGGAACTCGTAAACCAACAACCTCTGTTGATTAGTAATCGAGTACCCAACGAGCGACACAAGATGTCGATGATGAACCCGACTGATAATCTCAACCTCCGCCATGAATTCCCTCTCACCCTGCCCACTACCTGATTTCAAGCTCTTCACTGCCACTTCCTTCCCATTAGGTAAAACCCCTTTATGAACATACCCGAACCCTCCTTGTCCCAACAGATTCGATTGTGCAAACCCGCTTGTGGCTGCCTGCAACTCCTCATACGTAAAAGTGCTCTGATTAAACCCAATTGAGATCGTCGGTGGCGGGGGCGGCGGTTGGAGGTTGGAGTAATTGGCGCTATTCATGTCCCCACTAGACATCATCGGAGGAGGCCCACCTTGCCAGCCGCTTCCAGCCTGTCCGGCGCTATAATTCATCCCCATCGGTGGTTGCGACTGCTGCCATTTTTGAGGCGGCCCGGGGTGCTGACCACTGTTCATATAGTATTGGTCTGGTGGCGGACCCATTGGGTACTCACCGTAATAATGGTGTATGTGTTCCTGTTTATTCTTCTTCTTCTTTCGGCAACAACAAATGCAACATATTATTATCAATAGGATGAAGAATAGACCCACCCCTGCAGATATTCCCGCAATTAGCTTAATTTGGTCTTGGGTTAGCCCTTTGGTTGCACTATTCCACTGCTCCACTCCCGGCGGTGCTATTGACTTGTTCTCGTGTGACGGCCGACCCGCTCCCGGCGGTGCTACAATCTCGTGAACCTTTGTCTCACCATCTCTATTATTGTTGTTCTGGTTATTGTTGTTGTTGTTTTGGTTGTTGTTGTTGTCAATGTTTCCTCCCCCGCTGCCCTCTTCACGACGTTGAGGCGGCGCCGGAGGGGAAACAGAGTTTGGGTTTTCATTCTGTTGGTTTGACCCATTTGGTGGCGATGGTGGAGAATTACCCGACGAGTTAGTTGATTCATCGTTGTTGTTTGTCGATCCATCATCTGATTGATTCGGCGGTGAGTTTGTGGTCGACGGAGTTGTAGAAGGGGATCCGTTATCATTCGAGCTCGACATTTTTTTATTATTATTTTCCCCTCTTGTGAAAAGAAGATTTTTTCTTTATTTTTTTACTTCATGAATCTCCGTCAAAAGGCTTTTTCGCATTTGAAGCAACGATGCCAGGAAAATTTCACCCCTCTCCTGTAATATCTCAATCCCAAGCCCCTGCAAAAAAAAACCAAATAAAATAAAGATATACTCATGAATCATGATTCCAACAATTGATTATTGGTATAGGTATAAAATCAATTATTATGACCGGTTTCAATGACTCGATGTTACGTATTCCTCTTTTTTTTTCTTTTTCTTCTTCTTTTAGTTACATTCTTCTCCTCGTATCTTTCTGGTTGGCAACTGATCATTTTTCATTCTCCATCTTCCTTGTGTACTCAAGAGAATAAATGTCAATTATTTTCGATCAAATTTTTGCACCCTCACCCGAACATATTGATTCTTTCTTACCCTGCTTCTTTTAACTCATGATTCCAACTTTTCCTGGCATGCGAGATTTGTCGTCTTCCACCCATCAATCAATCAAATATTTCTCTTAATAACTCGAGTTATTGAGAAAGTAAGAAGAATAACAATCATATACCATCACGATTAAATAAAAAAATTCAACTCTTTCTAAGGCAAATTACCTGGAGAGGGGGAGAAGAAAAAAGTTGTGATGCAAGTCCCTCGGAGAGAGTAGGAAGGGGAAAAAAAGAAAAGGGAGGCAAGGTGGTGTTAGCGAAAGAACATAGAGAGACAGTCGTAGAAAGAAAGGGAAGCCCTTCTGGTAGCTCTGTGGTTTCTTTTTTCCTACAAAGTTGGGGCTTCCCCTCCCCTCTTTCTCAACCTCTAAGCTCTTTCAGTTGCTTTGTTTAGAGATCAATTCCCCAAAAACACAACAAAACAAACCTCCTTTCTTTCTTACTTTTTTTTTCTTGGGTCTGTCTTGTTTGATTTTTGTTTACTATTCACGGCTATATGACTATCGTTTCAATTTTGATCGTCACCCTGTTTTTTCTACCATTGCTCCCCTCTAACCTCGCTTTCTCAATCGCCTGTAACCATTAACAAACTCAACCTCCCATGCCTACTTACAAAAATAATCTGATTTATTTATATAAATATTCTAAATAAATTCCTTATCCTCTGTATTATAGAGATTGAGAAACCAGATTCCTTATTTCATTTTCAATTTGTTGCAGTCGCTACGCTGATGAAGCTCAAGCTTGGTTCTCAACTCAACGTGCCATATTTCTGCCTCCTCAACCAGACGATCCAATGGATGCCGAAACGGACAACGTCTCGTCTTCTTCTTCTTCTTTGACTCCTTCAAAAGGTACTTCTCCCGGGTTCAATTCCACCATTTCTTCAGCTTCAAGTGACCCTACCGAGTTGAAACACCAGGTTTTCATTCTTCAACTTTTCTCCAAGTACAAAAGTGTAACGAAAAAACGATTCGATCTCTGGCTGGAAGAGGTATTATTACAATGACCATGGACAAAAGTGTGACTGAAAATAACTCCCCCAGCTCTGTGGGTTTTCCACCCTCTGTGACTTTGGGAGGCGGCAGCAGCAATGACTATTCTGCAGATTGATCCTTCAAATGTCCGATTGAGAAATTTGGTATACGAAATATATGGAACCTGATTTGATCTCATCAGCCAATCTATTTATTTACAAGAAATGGAATCAAGTCCAAGTACCAAAAAAATTCAAAATTGAAAATGTTCAATCCAAATCAACTATGCATCCATCACAAATTCACAATCAACAGTGATACTCCAACTGTCGAGTCAACAGCCAGTGAAAAAAATGAAACAATACCAACAGCTATCCGCTAAACCTTCCTAATGCAGAAGTCTGTGCCAGAAAAAAAGAAAACCTACAAGCCTCCCCAAGTCGTGTCACCTGAAGCTCTAATCCTTGCCAAAAATCCCTCAAAATTTACACATCCATGTCGTCAGATTCAGAACTCACATAGTCCTCTTGATCTGCAGAGGCAGCACCCTTCACACCCACGAGGCTGTTCACATACGGCAGAAACCTCTCAAACCCATCATCCCTCGCTGTGCCTATCAGCTCCCCCTTCTCAGCTTCAACATCATACGCCACAATCTGGGTCCCGAAAACTGCAATCACTACCTTGTCACGGACCAGCGCCAAAGCTCGACTACAGTGCTCCCTCGCGCCGTAATCCACACTGATCACACGCTTCAGCTTCATGTCCATATCCCCATAGACTTGAATCACCGCCGCCTGGAGGCCCCCGCCTTCTTCTTCTTCTTCTACGTCCAGCTCCCACCGACTAGTAATTGGCAGAAGATAGCACAGCTCTCCATCCATGAATCCCAACGCCCCCTGTGGGCCATGGCCGGGTGGCAGAGTGAGGACGCCGCATTCTTCATTCTGCACGTCGAAGGTGAGTACTTTCCCACCTCCTGTCTCCCAGTACATAAACCCATTCAAGCACAGCCCGTCCCCAACAAACTCAGGAGAACCCAAATCGCCATCACAGTACATGGCGCCGCAGACCCTCCATTCGCCGGACCTTGAAGAGTAGATCTCAAACGAAACCACCACTAAAGGATCATCATCATCATCATCGTCGAAGGGTGCGGAGATGGTGGTGACAACAGCACAAACGAGCTGGTAATGTGCAGAGAAGCTGGACGGGGAAGGCTCGAAGGAGAGCCCCAGAGCTGCCTCGGGTCCATGGTACATGATTGGCTCTGGAAGCTTGGTCCATTGCTTGGTGACTGGGTTGCAGATGTAGTAGGACCCTAGATGGCTTCGGCAGCAGACCAAGCCGCCATCAGTGGCTCGGACCTCGACCTTTTCGGGCAGGAAGCCGAGGGATGGAGTTGGAACCCCACAGGAGTGCCGATCAAAGGGTGTGAAGCATGGTTCGTCGCCCGGGAACTGGGAGAAGAGGCCCGAGATTTCGGTGAAGCAAACCGATTGCTTGTGGGCGAAGAGCGGTGCAGATATCCAGTTGTTCCAGTCTTTGGCAACGGCTCTGAATCTGCAGACTGACTTGGCAGGCAGGTATGTGAGCACCTGGTGTTTGATCACATCCTTGATTTGCTCTTGCCATGGTGGAATGCTCACAGCGCATCTCTTCCTTGGAAATTCACGGGTGAGCTTCTGAGCCTGCAAAACAGGTGACAAAAAATTCAGATTTCGAAATTGCACGGAATTGATTAACAAAGTCTTGGAGAAGGAACTTACCACTGAGTTGGTGTATCTCAAATCGTCGTCGTCGTCGTCAGACATCAATTCCTCGTCAGGACTTCCGTCTCCTGCCGCCAGATTTTCTTGGAAATCAACGAGGACGAACCCACCATCCAAATCCTCCATCATGATCCTTTCAGTTTCAGAGCTTTCCATCTTCTCTCGTTTTCTTTTCTCCTGGGTGTTCAGTCAGTGTGATCGAAATGAGAAAGAGGTGTTGCAGGAATAGAGAAACGGGAGAGAGAAAGAGAGAGATGCGAATTAGGTTTTTACCTTTGCCCCCTCAACCATATTCAACAACAATCAATCTCACAGTTCAGGAAACCGGATCGTTCTTTCCTTTCTAGTCGAAGGAAAATTAAAGACCACGGAAAGATAAGGAAAGTTCGTAATCAGAGAAATTAACTCATAGATAATTACCTACACCACTACGCCAAGTCAACAACAAAACCTTAAACCCCCAACCCAGAGACCCAAGAAGCTAAAAAAAGAAGACTTGTGAATCAAGAAAAGCTAAACACGAATCGCCAGAGAAAACAGAGGATGCGGGAAAAAACATTCTCCAACTCAATTTACCCAGAGAAAAATCACAGAGCACGAAGAAAGAAACGAAAATCGAAAGAAATCAAAGAAAGGAACTGACGAATATTCAGAATCGACAAATAGAGACGATAACGACCCAATAATTAAGAGAAACCCGTCCCACAAAACCCTTCAGCACAACAGGATTTTCCGTAACGAAAACCTAATTTCCGAAATCAAAGAACTGGAAGACGAATCAAAAGGTACATTGCAGATAGAACAACGCAGAAGATAAACGAACAGAGGAGTAGGGAAATTGAAAGAGAAGCAAGGGAGAGCGAAGAACTGAATTCCGGAAAGCAGAGAGGAGAATAGAAAGAGATGTGATAGTAGTCGGAAAAGCTTCTTACGGGAACTCGATCGCCGCCGGGGAAAGAGGGACAGTTGCTGATCGACGGCGGAAGAATCTCAGAGCAGTTTCGGAGCGGAGGAGTTGAGAGAGAGCGAGAGCGGAAGCCAACAGAGAGTTTTTCCTTTCCTTTATCTTTTCTTTTAGTGATCGAAGCTGAGGGCCCCACAGGGTTGTTTATATGGGCACGCAGCGGCGTGGACTGGAGGAAGACTTCCGTCGGGAACACGTGGTGAGTTCTTATTGGCAGTCCGCCGTTTCGAAGCCTAGGGTTTCGTGAAAGTCAAGTTTGTGCCGCGGGTGGAACTCACGCGGCCGAGACTCGCGTGGCTAGCTCAACTTCCGCCGCGAGCTTCTCGGCCGTTTCCCGGAAATGCTATTGCCAAATTTTGAAGTTCCCTCGCGTTGCTTTTATCGGAAGGAACCACAGAGAAGTTTTCGGTTGTAATTGCTTCATCTTCAATGTCAAGCTGTTGAAGTTATGGGCTACAGAGTACAGACTACAGTTGTTCCATATGCGTCGCTTTTTGAGTGTTTAATGTAGAATTTTAACATTGAGTTATACGAAGGCAAAATACACTTTGATAGTCACAACTATTACGTTTGTAACACTAATAGCCAAGTAAATCGAAATATTAGGGGTGGGAAACGGTGCGGTTGCGTTTAACTGCACCGAATAAGCGCGGTTAACCGCCACCGCACAAGGGGAAAACCACCCACCGTTACCGCAATGCAAACGGTTTGCGGTTAACCACTAACCGCAAATCACGGTTAGCGGTTAATTGCGGTTAACTGCATGTTAAACCGCACACCGCGATTAAGAGTTAAACGGTGTAAAAAACCGCGAAATGAAATAAAACCGCAACAAAAACCGAATTAACTTGTAAAATCCAGCAACATGCACTTGATAAATTAACACTAAAACAAAGAAAATGCACCTGAAAAAGTCAGAAACAGAATTAAGTTCTAAACATCCAAAAGAAACCATCCACATTAAGTTCTAATACGGAAAATGCACTTGGAAAATTCATTTGGGTTGTTGGATGGGTTGGGTATTACTCTTACGCGGTTAGTTATTCGGTGGAGTTACTTATTCGGTGCGGTGTGCGGTTAGTCCACAAACCGCAAAAGAGCCAATTTCACTAACTGTTACCGAATAAAGACCATTTTAAACGGTTTGCGGTTAACCACAAACCGCTCTTATTCGGTGCGGTTGCGGTTTAACCGCAAAACCGCAACCGTTTTCCCACCCCTACGAAATATACAAAATGTTCAGTTTTGTCTAATGCATTAACGGTATCAATTAACAGTCTGAATGGACTAACGGAATGGGCTTAGTTGGTGCAGTAGGGGTCCATGACAAGTATCTGGGGTTACCCACTTTGATTGCCCGCTCCAAAATGGCTACGTTTCGATATCTTGAGGAGAAATTACTGGAGCGACTGCAAGGGTGGAAGCAAAGGACTTTGTCCTGGGCGGCAAAGGAAACGCTAATTAAGTCGATAGCTTTGGCCCTGCCCCTGCATGTTATGTCGTGCTTCCGATTGCCCCTATCTCTTTGTCGTCTGTTGGATAGACATGTGGCCCGGTTCTGGTGGGGTGCTGAGGAGGGCCATCCCAAGGTTCGGTGGGTGTCCTGGCGCGATCTGTGCAGGAGTAAACATGATGGGGGATGGGATTTCGCCGGTTTGAACATTTTAACCAGGCTCTTTTAACAAAAATCAGTGTTCAAGAAGACGTTGTGTAACATCCCGAACCACGGATAATTTTTTTTCCAAGTAGCGGACGCATATAGTACGATTCGAGGCTGAAAAAAAAAACTAATTATTATCCTATACGAGATAGGATCCGTGAAACCACTCGGAAACTCACAAACCATTAAAAACTGAAGTAAAAATAAATTGCTGTGTTGCTAGTATCGAACCAGTGACCTCCTGGCAACTAAGGGTGAGCTGAAAGCATAACCAGCTGCGCCAGCTATTATCTGTGTTAATGGAAGCACCCTGCTTGATTTTAACCTTTATTGACTGCGTGCACTGGCAGCAGCTTCATTTATTTAGCGGTGCCTACTGTGGGAACTTGGAAGTTGATCACTACACTTCTGAACCATGAAGGCGGCCTTCAAAGAGCCCTCAATGCACCTACAGAGAGTAAAGAGGGGGGAGGATGAGTTTGAATAGCCTTT